GCCCGCGGAGGCCCAGCAGCCGGCGGGCGCGCGTCGGCCGCCAAGTGGGCGGATGCTTGCTGGGCGCGGCGGGTGGAGTGCGCTCCGGTCCGCGCCTTCCCTGTAGGGCTGTGCGCGCCGCCGCGGCGGGACCGGGAACCCGGACTGGAGCGCCCGCCTCGGCTCGGGCCGCGCTGCTCACGTGCTGTCAGCGGGCGCAGACGCCCTTCTCTCCGGGGGTCGCCACTGGATTAGGGACTGCCCTCTGCAAGGTCTAGGGAAGCCCCGTGGCGCCCCTCCTGCCAGCTCTCCGCGGCGTGGAGCCCAGGGCCACTCGTGGAATTCTGGTGGATGTCCTTGCCTCCGAGCCCATGTCCCCTAGGATTCCTGCCTGGAGTCCTAAGAGCTGACTATTATTGGAACAGAGCTCCAGGTGCACAAGGGAGGCTTTGCCCTACTTCAGGAACTCAGTTTTGTTCAATAGTTTTCTTAGAAACATTGAATAAAAGCTGGGAACTTGATGGTGTGCCTTGCACAAGGTGTGTGCGCTCACTGTGATTACGGACTCCGAACTCCTGTCCTCTGCTCTTGCCCTTTACTGCATAAAGTTCCTAGGAAGTGTTAAGATACAGTTCAAACGTGGGTCATTTCATTCTTAAGTTCTTTTTAAAAGGATTTTGCTAATTGCAGGTAACTTTGAGCGTGTAAAGCATTATTAAAGGGAAACTTGACCTTCAGTCAGATTGCTGCAGGTCCTGAAGCTGATGGAAAAATCAGGACACAGGGATACCCTTGGGCCAAGGTTAATAATATTCTCCCTTTTGGCAGTTACTTGTTTGTCTGAGTATAATTTACCCACCTCCAGTCTTTTTCATCTTGAATATAATCATTAAGCCACTTCCAAGCCCAACAAACCTCTTCAAAGAAGATGTACAACAATTAAGGGCTCTTTGTATTTCCCTGAAAGCTCATGTCAGAGTTCAATTGTCTGCCTTTCAAGTGTGGTTATCAGAGGTCCAAAGCCTCCTTTCCGGAGTATTCCCCCAGCTCCAGGCATTGGGCGCCTTTTCTGTGTGTTTTGCTCCAGAGTTCTTACCTTTCACTGTTGCTTAACTGTAACACTCATGTCCTTGTTTAACCTTGGGACAGTATGGTGTGTCTAATTCTCCATTCCCTCAACGTGGTACTACTCAAAGAAAAGATAGTGAACACTTCTAATACATGGATGAGAGAACACTGCAGCCCATTTTGTAACTTTGAAAGTTTTTCTGATATATATATATATATAGATTCAATCTCCAGAACTGCAGAACAGCAAAAACAACCCCACACCCTGGAAAAAACCTAAATGATGGGCCGGTAGATGGTCTTTGAAGCCTTGGCACACATTCCAACACCCCAGGGGCTTTTTTGGTATCGCTATGCCCACCTGCGGAGTTTCTGACTTAGTAGACCCTGGGGAGGGCCCTCCCGTTTGTATTCTATATGGAAGCCTTCGTCTTGGCAGTGGGGCCATGTGCCTCCTGGCAAGCTTGTAAGTGCATGTATTCACCTGCATGTTACTGTTTTCTTCTTCTGAAATGGCTCCCTTCAGCTCAGTCCACATGGCCTCTCCTCACTGTTGATCAAACTGCGATGCTGAAGTGGGCCATACAGCATTAGCTTTTTGTATCATGAGATGACAAGGTAAATAACACCTGGGTGTAATGACCTGTATCATTAAGAAATTTATTTAAAAATAAAAAAGCAATATGCTTTGTGCATTTTTACTGAAAAACTGTCAGAAAGAAGTACATTTTCACCAAGTTCTAGATTGTTGAATATCAGGAGAGTTAGGCAAAAGAAATAGTGGTGGCAGTGGTTAGAAAGGAAACTCAGGATTAAGAAGTCATGAGATGAAATTCAGATGCAATAGTAGAATAAAACTTCTGAGCTTAGCTAGGAGAATGTGAAGCAGAGGCTCACGAGTGAAGGTTAAGAATCTGCGGAAAACAAATACATGAAGTAGAACAATTTTCACTGTCGTTTGACTGTTTCTTTCACTTCTGTACACAGTTACTGTAATTTTTCTTCTTCCATTGTAAGCAAAAACTAGTAGCAATGCTGAAATGGAGTTCTGCTGAGGTAGGGGGGTGGGAAGGCAACATAAATACTTTGTGTGAATATTAAAGAAAATTGTATCCAGAATAACCAAGGTCAAATTGTACATTTCATTCCTCCTAATTCATTTAGGTAGTCTCTGAAAATTTGAAGGTTGTTTATTTACTTGGTACCTGCTGTTGAATTTTAAAAACATCATAATATTAGTATGTAAAATGTATTAGAAGGTAGAAGTCAAATTAGGAGAAGCTTAAAACTCATCTTAAAATGTAGTAATCTAGGAAAAAAGATAAATGTTACTAAATACAGGGTTTTGCTTAGCTATCTAATCTTAGGTAGTTCTGGCAGTGACATGGGTTTTCACTCTCAGAGACAGAGTGTGGGTATGAAATGGGAGCAGAGAGGATTTTGGTTAAGGGACACTGAAAAGCGTCCCCTGAGGAGCTGCCTCAGTAGGTCCTAAGCGGCTTTCTGGGCTTTAGGCCTTGCATAGCCTCAGTGGTGACTCCTGCTGCAGGCAATCTACTTCCTCTTTGCCTTACTCTTGGGGCCAATACTGTTGGCATGCCCTGCAACCTTTGAATATCCAGACTGGTAAAACTGACTGCAAATGAGATGAATGAATTTACTGTACACTGTGGTGTGTGCCTGTGGTCCTAGCGACTTGCAAGGCTGAGGCAGGATTCTCGAGCCCTGAAGTTCAAGACCAGCCTGAACAACATAGCATGTGGGTCATGTTAAAATGTTCTGCATGTATGTGAGATCAGTGATGTGTGTGTGTGTGTCTGAAAATTGAAATTAAACTTCAATAAATGACGAATTGATCTTATTATCTTTGGGAAGAGAGAAAAGATTGCATTCTAAAAAGGAAGCCAACTTTCCCTAAGTATCTTCTGTAGTCCAGCCCCTGAGCTTTTGTATATTTTATTATTTAGGGATAAGTAATATCTATATTTATTTCTCACTGTATCTTAATTTAAATAATATTCTCAGATTGATATAATTGTGACTGAACTAGAACTTTAACCATAGGAGGTGGTTAGTTTTCTGAAGATAAAAACTGTCATTTAGTATAAGTTAGTTTCTCAGCTAATCATATGTAAATATCAAATGTCAACATAACATATAACAAATGTCAGTAAGTATTGTTAATGTATGAATGATTATAAAATCAGATTTATTTACTTTTTTGTTCTGCTGGGAATCAAACCTAGGGCCTTACATATGCTAGGTAAGTGTCTTGTCACCAAGGTATAGCCCCAGCCCAAGTTATCTCTTTACAAAAATATGTCTGAAAATTTGGGGCTGGGGAAGAAGAAACTGTTGCATAATTTCATGTCATTTGTCATGAAAACAGTAATTCTCAGCTGAAAGAAGTAGATTGTTGACAATAGGATGGTATTATGTGCTTTCACTTCTGTTTAAGTATCTGCAAACCTCTGGGTGTGAGTGGACATGAATTTTCCTCCAATGTACTCTCCATTTTTCAGCCTACAGAGAAATAGTTTAGAATGACTCTCTAATGGATTGAGTGTTGGGGAATTCTTTTGTTTTTCTCCTTCACTGTTAGGTGGAAAGGATGACAGCAGAGCTCTGCATAAAAATTTGGGAGACTCAAAGATTTCTTATACATAAATAATGATGTAGAAGTAGAATATAGTAGAAGACTTTTAGAAAACATGGAGAAGAGCATATTGTGGTGGAAGGATTATGTAATAGATTTCAAAAACTGGGATTTGGGTTGCTTTAATGCAGTTTTGGGCAAATTGAGAAATCTTGCTAAGGTTCAGAAACTTGAGCTGAGTTGACTGGACAGCTATGTTCTTACTCTTTTTTTTCTGAGATACTTCTAATTTATTTTATAATAAATCTATAAACTTGATTCAATTTACCAAACTTTTAATTTTTTTTTTTTTTTGGTTTTTTTTTTTTTTTTTTTTTGGCGGAACTGGGGATTGAACTCAGGCCCTTGCGCTTGCCAGGGAAGCGCTTATTCTACTGAGCCATCTCCCCGGCCCATTTTTTTTTTTTTTTTTTTGGCCAAACTTTTAATTTCTAAGAATAAAAGTGTGTGTGTGTGTGTGTGTGTGTGTGTGTGTGTGTGTTTAAAACAGAAGCAAAAGAATCCTTGCTACTTGAGGACAGGAAAGAGAGAAAAAAATCTCTTCATGGCCCAAGCTCTTCCCTTCTGACTCTGTCCCAGGGTTTGAGTAGGGAGGAAGTGCCTCACCTACCTTGACCAAAATAGAATTGTAAGTGGCCAGAAGTCATGTGCATAGCCTCTACCATTTTAATCTCCCATTTGACTTTCTTGCCATATAGTTCCCTTAAATATGCCTTTGTGCTAATCAACATTTTTATGAGAGTAATTTCTAGGGGAAGAGAAAAAAGATATACTATATCCTAACTTTGTGTCTGTGTGGCAGACTGTTAGGAAGTGAAGTTCAAGCTTGCAGCTGGGCTTGTTAGGTGCCAGTGGATTGGGACTTCTCTCTGCACTCTCTTCACAGGTTGAAAGTACAGTATAATAAGATTAGAAGAGGCAATGTTCAGTATGAGTAATTGGTTGGCACAGAATTTGCACTCATTTTTTCTTGTCCATATTATAGATGGAGGATAGAGAAGAAAATAATTTACAACTGATTGTATGAGTGCTCACTAGATGACTCATTTGGGACCTGCTTAGTCTTTCTATTCCTATAACAACATATCCTAGACTGGCTAATTTATAAAGGAAAGAAGTATATTGAGGACATAGTTCTGGCGTCTCGAAGCCTAACGTTAGATGATTACATCTGGTGAAAGCCTTGTTGTGTGCTTATGACACACTGAGAAGCAGAAGCGAAACCAGGTGTGCAGAAGAGGCAGACTGCCAGGGGGCAGCTTCACGTTCTGACAGCTCACATTTGCAGTATCGAATCCAGTCCTGTGAGAACAAGAGCTCACTCTTGTAAGAATTAAATTGGTCCTTAAAAGCAATACTAATCTCCTTTTGAGGACCCAGTGCCCCTTAAAAGTCCCACTACTTCTCAACACTTACATTAACCAAATTTCAATATGAATTTTGGAGGTGACAAAAATGATCTCCAAACCATAGCAGCCAAATAGTTAATTGCAGTAAGGGTAAGATAGTCTTCCTTGCACATAATAGGTTTTTCCACTATCCATGTGCTAGTGCCATAGGGAGAGGAATCATTTTGTATACTATTCTTTACTAGCTGTCCTTTTAGTAAGCATTCTCTGGTGCTTAAGGTTAGGTCAAGGGCCCAACTGTGTGGTGATAGGTAGTACCAATCACATTGTACTTACTTACCTGGAGATCAGCAGTCATGTTGTAATACTACATTGGATTAAATATGTGAACTCTCAATAAGTATTGATTGGTTGAATGTAAAGTAAGGTTATTATCAAACTTTGATAGCTGATGTCATTTCTATGAATTTGAATCTCAATACATGGACTATAAGGGCTGGGGAAATAGCACAGTGTGTAAGCTCCTGACTGGCAAGGGCAAGGTCCTGAGTTCGATCCCCAGTACTGAAGAAAAAAAAAAAAAAA